AAGGGGAAATAGGAATTGCAGCGGCGGCGGCGCCGTTTCCTGCAATATTGATACGCCGCTGAAGGTGGCTGCGAAGGGGCGGACAGGTGAGGATTGAGAGCAGTCGCAGGGAAATCGTCGCACGATTTCGCTCACCACCGGAGAAAAAGTCGGCTAAAAAACCAAGGTCGGCGAAGATTTACTCAAAAATGACGTCAAAAGATGTTTGGATAACATAAATGTGATGAAACAGATTGCAAGATCGGGTTAAATCGCAACCAGGTCCCACTACTATTCCAGGAAAGACGACTTCAAGTGTAAATGGAGAAAAAATACCTTAGCCTGAACTGTGCCCCATCGAAAAGTATAAAACGCTAGTAAAACGTAAAAAAACCAATTCTGTCAAAACTTCAAACGGAAATTGAGCAAACTACACGAACGTTATCAGATGTTTTGATGGCGACGGAAAGTTTATTTACCGATTAATGAAACTTTTCGATAAGATTTCCTCAAAATTATTATTATTTTTTTGTAGATGTAGTCGAACCTAGAGACCCTAGATATACTTTGGAAAAGAGTTGTGACACGAAACGTCAAAATTAATGGTAAATTTTATTTTGCTATGCTGGCTGCGGATGTTTTGTTTTGAGTTGTGTTTTGACAATTTGTAATTGTCATTTAGCACATAGACGTGGAAGAGAATAGTCGTTGTCTGCTGTGTACGAAACTGTAGAAATACAGAAGAGAAAAGCTTCTCATTGTTTAACAAGATATTACTTAACAAATGGAGAGAACAGATGCAATATCCATCTTGAAAAATTGGCAAAAGGGCTTACATCTGCGAGGTTGTTGTCCAAAACTGTATTTTCCATCCAATCCTTGGTCAAATTTTATATTTCATGTCAATGCAAAATATGTGAGAACGCAATTCCAACAATTTATAATGTGGCTGAATTTACGTCAAAATGACCGGTTCTTGGAAAAAAAATGTTATTGATGAACTTCAGCACACTATTTTCGAAAAAGACAACTTCATCAAAACACTGCAAAATGAAAAAAAGTTACAAGAAAAAATAACGCGGGGTGCTGAAAAAGAAATTGTCTTGAAAGCAAAAATTTCTAGTTTAGAAAGGCAAGTGGTAAATTACAAAAATAAGGACGATGTATAAAACATAACTATAAAAGGGATTTTCAACGAATTGGAACGTCAGGACATAACTATATCTTCTGAATATAAATGTTCCGTTACCTTCAAGTAGAACCCTATGCCAAAAAATTCAGCACATACCATTTTTAGCAGGAATTTTACATGAAATGAAATTTTACCTATTTAACAATCAAAATTCAAAATTTTAATGATTAGGAAAGAGATTATTGTTTATTTTTACGCGAAGCAGCAATCAATACAGGTAAAGAATACTGTCCACGTTCCTCATTACTTTTAGGAAACAACATTAACAAATTTAAATGAAGTCGCTACTCATGTTTTGCTTTTTATGTAGGAGGTGTAAGCTTACGATGGAAGCAAATCGTATGTTATCATTTTACTGGGAATTCCACACACGGAGACGCATTATCTAGAATTGCAAAAGCACAAAAACGCAGTTCCAAAATTCAATAGTTTACCCAAATTACGAAAATAGGAATGTTTATTTTGATTCTGACGCTCCACATGTATATAAAACTGTTCAGTCCAACCTCATGTATTCTTCGGCTATTTAATTGTTTGTGGAACATTTCTTAATTATTTCGAGTTACAGAAATTCGATGACCCTACATGCTTTTTTATTTTTTTTCATTGTTATTTTAATGAAAAGAAGCAACAAATTTTAACTTGTAAGTTTTATTTAATATGGGGGCACATGAATCTATATATTTCTACTGAGATTATTCTATATATTAGAGCAAATATTCATGATGGAAATGTGAGGACGTTGTAAAAGCACTGTTTATTCTAGAGTAGTAGAGAGAGAACCTACTAAAGATGCTTCAAATTTCTTACCACGGTGGACATTACCTTCTCAGTTCGTTACATTACAAAATGTTGTTTTGATCAGAAGCAAAATGATTAGACACTGGCAATGTGATATACTCTCTAAATCTTACGTTGGGAACAACGGCAGTACTTAGGTACAGAATGGTGTTCAAACTTGACTGCAAATTGTGATAATCTCATAAAGTGTAAATCAGTATGATTAGGAATTCCGAATTTTTCTGTTTTACCAGAGATGCCGGTTTCAATTTGTAAGAAGTACGTAACCCAGGCGCGGATCCAGGGGGGGGGGGCAATGGGTGCAATTGCCTCCCCCTGACACACGACTGAGGTACTTTATTTTGACCAATTTCAAAATTTTGAAATCATATTTCATTTTGTAAATACAGTAGAACCTCTATAATCCGAACTCACGATTGTCTCAACATCCAGTAATCCGAACAGAGGCTATTTGAAGCCGATGCCTCTTTAATCTGAACAAAAACTCTGCAATCCGAACTGAACTTGAAAACATGCATCTACTTCCAAAAATGACGCAAGATCTTTCTGCATATGTTGTATGGAATATTTTGAAATTTTTAAAAATTGCGATATTTCAAAGCACTCAATTAATTAACTAATTCTGGAGAAACGGATGAAGTTATCGGAGACCCGAAATCTACAAGAGAAAGTATTTGGTTAAATTTCGAAAATCGTCAAAAATGGGTCGAAATTTGCATGAGAAAAATTTCATTTTTGAAAAATTTTCCTAAAAATTCTGAAAAAATTCAGGGATATATATCTCGACGTGCTGATTCCAAAAATATACCATGTTTATAGTAACGGAGCAATATTTTCGGAAAATTCGCTGTGAAATTCGAATTTTTCGAAATTTTTAAAAATTGCGATATTTCAACTGGACGATTCTGGAAAAATGGTTTAAGTTATCGAAGAAATGAAGCCAGAAGTGACTTCTGAGGTTCAAAATCTACAAGAAAATATATTTAGTTAAATTTCGAAAATCGTCGAGAATGGGTCGAAATTTGCATAATGGAGGTAATACGAATACATAATGGAAAATTTCATTTTTGAAAAATTCATCTAAAAATTCTGAAACATTTCAGGGTATAGATCCCGGGGTGTTTATTCCAAAAAGATAGCGTGTTTATGGTCACGGAGTAATATTTTTTTAGAATGTAACTATTATCCATTGTTGCTTAAGAATTCTTTAATTTTTGTTTAATAAAATTTAGGTTTATTTCTTGAAGTTTGTTTTTAGTTGTGTATGAAGTTGTTATTCAATTCCCTTTCAGATTTTTGCGAAAATTGCTGATCAGAACAAATCGTTAATCCGAACACACCTTTTTCCCAATTAGGAATTAGGATTATAGAGGTTCTACTGTACACTATACGTGTAATGAAAAGAACCAAATGTCACCCATGCTATGTGAAAAAGAGTATACTAGCTAAAATTTTATAATTTTTTTTGTTTAGAACGAATTTCTGGTAGATAGGTAAAATCACACAAAAATTTTGCCCCCCCCTGAACGAAATCCTGTATCCGCGCCTGACGTAACCTCATAACACTTCTTAAATACAAGGTACTGTCAACAAAGAAACTACTTGGAGCACTACGCCACTCTTTGAAAATGTAACTTAACCTATAAATTTCTTTTGAAGTTTTTGAAACTAAATCACTAAATTAGATAAAGACAGCAACCACTATAGCTATTTCATAACTGACCGTCATGTAACAAAGACAGAGACAGAAAATGTCCGTGTCACAACTCTTTTCCAAAGTATATCTAGGGACACTAGTCGAACCCATTGGGCAAGTGGCGACTTTTATGTTCTCTCGACGTTTCATGACCCCTAGAACACGAAAAAATAGATCACGGGACCGTCTGTCTGTCTATCTGCCTGTCGTCTGTTCGAATTTTTATTCGACAGGTTATGTCCGAAACTATTTCCCCGATTGTTGTCAATTTTGCATGTGTACTAAGAATATCGTGTGTCTAATCATCCCCACCAACAATAGGACGTCCATTGGTAAATGTCACTTAAATTTTATAAAATAAGATACTCGCGCGCCTGTGTTTTATAAATCCGTGTTCACTTTTTTCCCTAGATATCCAGATTTTTGGGAAACAATCAAAATCGTACAACAAAAACCGAACACTGTGAAATTTATGAGTGTTTTTGGCCGCTGCTAATAATCGAATTCTTTCGAAATATAAACTTAAACAGTCGAAGTTAAGCATGTACTGACAAATTGAGAATATTTACGTTTTTCCCGTAATAAAAGATTAAAAAGGTGATGCGAGATTAGTGCAGGTGGATCTGACTTATCTGTATCAAAACCAACTGGGAAAAGTTGTATATTACACACGGAAGCAGTTTATATTAAAAACGTATTGTGCACAATAGTACGGATTTCGCCCCGGCGCGGCTGCGGGGGTGTTAATTACGCCACTGATGTTACTTGTCGTTGCATACTTCCTGGGATACAAGTAAAGCATTTTTCCGGTTGATCGAAAGGGACACTAACTGTGGAATTGTAGTCCCTACGTGACATTCCTGTTCCCTTTGAAATTACGACGGGCCGAGGAGATATTTCGCGGCCTTAAAATCAATTTAGGCGCGTCGAGAGCCACAATATGAATGGAAGAATAGGCAAAGAAGAGACTGTTAACAATATTATGCGCGTCGGATTGCCATCAGGCATCTCCAGAGATCGCGCGGCGTCGAATAGCGTCGTCTGCTCTCCCCCAGATTGCGCGAAATTTGTATCGGGCGGATATTAAGAATCCGTTCCTGGAGGTAGGTACCACCCCGTCCGAAGTTCGTCTTTCGCGTCGTCTATTTGTAGAAGAATGCGATCTGGCGCTGGTCCGTCCGGAATGGTCGCGATGCCTCGTGCAGAATTTCGAATGGATTGTTCGCGTGTCACGCGAATTCAATCCGGTCTAAATATACGTCGGTCTGGCAGCGAAGACGAATACCGTCCGCAGCAATCATCATCAGAGATAAGGTGTAGTGAGAGACTTACGTGGCGGCGGTGTTCGCACCCTGCTTCAGGTAGGGATGGACCCTGTTGGCGTTCGTGTCCAGGACGGACGTCTGAGGGCCGTTCTGGGTCGGCGCGCCCGGGGACAACTTGCCTGCCAGCGCGTCCAGCGAGTGCAACATAGTCGGTGAGACTCAGCCACGGGACTGGCCAATCTCACCTGTACGCGCCGAGAGATAAGATAACGCACCTGTTATCTATGGTCCGCGGTGGCGTCGGATCCGAGGCGCGTCGCTGCTCCACCTGGGTCACGCCGGGTCGGAGCACCGCGGCATGGTGCACGGGGGCGACAACAACAACACAACACACAGCCAGGCGGAAGGTGGACGGCACACACGGAAATACTACGCTAGGGCCTGGAAAAGCACACACAAGTTAATCGCTGCGGTACGACACACGTGCGGCGGCGGCCTCCGCCGCCGCACAAGCGGGCCGAACAGAGCGGGTCGGGACGCACAAGACAAGTGCACACAGCTACAGGGAGGCGCCAAAGCGGGCCCCCGGCGCGCCAGCCGCCACCGGGGCTCGCGCGGCGGGGGCCGTGGACAGCGGAGTCGTCGGCGGCGGCGGCGTACCTGGTGGCCGAGTCCCGCGCCCGTCGCGCTCTGCTCGGCGCCGCCGAGCGCGCACATACCGGTCGTCGCGACGCTCCGCACTGCACTGACGCCGCTCCTGGTCGGCGGCCGAGGCGCAGCGGCGCAAGCGCCCGCGACGGCGACGTGCGATATGTAATGCATCGACACGACCGTCTGGAGGCACACACACGCCGCCCACCCTCCCGGAGGAAGGACGGGACGCCGGCCCTGCAATTAGCCGATGCGATCGCCGCCCCACGAATTTCACTCGCGGACCGCAAATAGATGCTGGGTTGTTTCGGCTTCGGAGAAATCGAAACCGCGGGATGGAGGCGGGCGCGTGATGGGGCGCGGGTGCAGTTATGATCTTTATGCAAACGAACACTTGCGGTGGAGAGATTTATGCACAGTTTTAATAGTCGGATTTCGGTATGTTGTGCTACGAGGAAGCAACTAGCGGCGAATGGGACCAGATGGGAATCAACGATTTTCCAGGGTAGCGGCGGCACACCAGAGCCCCCGATTCCCGAATCAAAATTTTATGTTTATATATTTTATATTTTTTGTATGTTTTAAACTAGCAACCCGGTCTGGTTTCGCCGGCGTAATGAAGTTGTATGATATGTGTATCATTTAACAGTTTTCAGATGGCATGATTTTTTCCGACTTCTCGACAATTGTTATGATAGTTCGGCCAATTTACACAAAACCTTCATAAATTATACACCTAAATGTTCCTCCTGGATTACTCTATCTACTGGTGAAAACAGCATGAAAATCTGTACAATAGTTTTTGAGATTATTGCGTTCAAACAGACAGACAGACGCTTCATTTTATTCTATGTAGAGATGAAGTAAAATTTCGGCCTTTCAGGCATCGATCTAAATTTGTTCCTCGATAGTTCAGCATGCGCCCTAATCACGGGACTCCCAGATTCTTTCAAATTACTTCAAAAACTAAAGAAAAGGTACTTCAGATACTTCAAACTACTTCAAAAACAAATCAAATGAAGTCCCCGATATTCTTTCAAACTACTTCAAATATAAAACAAAAAGGATCCACGAGATTCTTTGTAACTATCTCAAAAACAAAAGAAAAGGAGTCCCCGAAATTCTTTCAAACTACTTCATAAACAAAACAAAAGGAGTCTCTGAGACACTTCAGACTACTTCAAAAAACCAGGCACCAGAGGTCCCCGAGATTCATTCAAGCTACTTCAAAAATAAAATAAACATCGTCCCCGACATTCTTTCAAAATACTTACATCGAAAACAAAACCGAAAAGGTTTACGAGATTCTTTCAAACTACTTCAAAAATAAAACAAAAAAAGTCCGCGAAATTTCTTCAAACTACTTCAAAAACCCAGGGACAAATGGTCCCTGAGATTTCAGGGCTCGTATAAATTTTTCCCGTGCTGGTTCAGCAAATTCGATCCACCCCTGGAAACAAGGGCGCCTCAAACTTTGTATGTGGTAATCCGAAAGCTTGCCATAGACAAGATTAAGTCATTTCTGGTATAGGGAATACAATCATCGTAAATTCGGAGCAATCAAATCTACTCAAAATTCTATTATCCTTGTTAATTTCCTGCTTCTAAAATGATTTTTTCTGTGATTAAAAAAAGTTTAAGTCCAGATTTTTTGAAAAGTAGAAGATTTGATTTTGAATTTTATTTTTTTCTGATAACCCTTATAAGTTAAAATAAATGCTATGCATAAAAATCAATCAATCGAGGAACTGAAAAATCGAAATAGTTGAAAATCGAAAAATTGAAAAATCGGAAAATCGAAAGATGGATAAATCGAAATATCAAAAAATTGAAAACTTATAAGACCCGGTTTAGGGCTAGTTTCATAATCAAAACTTAAAGGACCTTTATTAACTAATGGGAGCTTTAAGGGCTGATTTCATAATCAAGTTAAAGGAGCTTTAAAGTTAAAGTTGAATGTTTACCATGGAAACACATTGTTGAGACAATGGTTTAAAGCTCCCATTAGTTAAAAGTCAAACAATCTGTTTCCATGGTAAAAATACAACTTTAATTTTAAAGTTCCTTTAACTTGATTATAAAATCGGCCCTTATAGAACGCGAATTAAAGTTAAATTGAGGTCCGTTGCTAGGCAACGTGCATGTTTTAACCAATCACGGGCTCATATTCTATATTTTAATTCTCTGTTAAATTAATCCACGATTAAATATTTAATTGGGTTTCTATAAACCGACCCCTAAAGTTAAAAAAAATAGAAAATCTAACATTTAAAGTCGAAAAATTAAAACATCGCAAAATTGCAAAATCGAGAAATAGAAACATCAAAAAATCGAAAAATTGAAAAATCAATAAGTGGAAAGTGTAAAAAATCGAGAAATCAAAACGAAAATTCGAAAAATTGAAGAATCCAAATACATATTGAAAAACCACAATGAATTAGCGAAAAGTTGAATCGAAAATTCAAAAAATCGGAGAATCGAAAATTTAAAAAATCGAAATGTATATGTATCAACAAATCAAAAAGTTGAAGAATTGAAAAACTCAAAAATCCATAAATCAAGAACTGGAAACATTGGAAAGTTGAGAAATCGAAAAATCGAACATTTAGAAACTTCAAAAATCGAGAAATTGAAAAATCTGAAAAATAAGGATCAAAAAACTGAAACATCGAAAAACTGAGAAATCCCGAGTTGGAAAATCGAGAATTCGAAAAACTGAAAAATTGAAAATTCGAAAAAGTCAAAATTTGGAAAATCGAAATATTGAAAATCTCTAAATTGAAACATTGAAAAATTAAAAAATCGAGAAATCAAAACGAAAATTCGAAAAATCGATGAATCCAAATATTGAAAAACCACAATGAATTAGCGAAAAGTTGAATCGAAAATTAAAAAAATTTGAAAATCAAAAATTTTAAAAATCGAAATGTATATGTATCAACAAATCAAAAAATTGAAGAATTGAAAAACCTATCTATCCATAAATCAAGAGCTGGAAACATTGGAAAGTTGAGAAATCGAAAATCGAACAATTAGAAACTTCAAAAATCGAGAAATTGAAAAATCAGAAAAATAAGGATCAAAAAACTGAAACATCGAAAAACTGAGAAATCACGAGTTGAAAAATCGAGAATTTGAAAATTCGAAAAAGTCAAAATTTGGAAAATCGAAATATTGAAAATCTCTAAATTGAAACATTGAAAAATTAAAAAACTGAGAAATCAAAACGAAAATTCGAAACATTGAAGAATTGAAATATTGAAAAATCACAATGATTTAGCGAAAAGTTGAAACGAAAATTCAAAAAATCGGAAAATCAAAAATTTTAAAAATCGAAATGTATATGTATCAACAAATCAAAAAGTTGAAGTATTGAAAAACCCAACTATCCGTAAATCAAGAGCTGGAAACATTGGAAAGTTGAAAAATCGAGAATTTAGAAACTTCAAAAATCGAAAAATCGAGAAATTGAAAAATCGGAAAAATAAGGACCAAAACACCGAAAAATCCCAAAACTGAAACATCGAAAACCTGAGAAATCCCGAGTTGGAAAATCGAGAATTGGAAAAACTGAAAGACTGAAAATTCGAAAAAGTCAAAATTTGGAAAATCGAAATATTGAAAATCTCTAAACTGAAACATTGAAAAATTAAAAAATCGAGAAATAGAAAAATCTAACATTTTAAAAATCGAAAATTAATACATCCCAAAATTGAATAATCGAAAAATTGCAAAAGCGAGAAATCGAAACATTGAAAAATCGAGAAATCAAAAATTCAAAAAATCGAAAAATCGAAAATTTAAAAAATGGAAAAAGTTGAAGAATTGAAAAACCGAAAAGTCCGTAAATCAAGAACCGGAAACATTGGAGTCGAGAAATAGGGAAATCGAAAAATCGAAAATTTAGTAACTTCAAAAATCGAAAAATTGAAGAATCGAAAAATTGAAGACCACAAAATTTGAAGAATTGAAAAATCATAAAACTGAAATATGTATTAGAAAATTGGAAAATCGAAAATATGGAGAATTCAAAAATTAGCAAATCGATAAATCGGAAAATGGAAAATCAAAGATAAATTGAAGAATGAAATTTGAAAAATCCGAACGAAACATCGAAATATTGGAAAACTGAGAAATCGAAAAATCGAAAATTTAACCAAATAAAAAAACTGGAAAATCCAAAATGGAGAAATGGGAACATCAAAAAATCTAAAAGTCGAAAAACTGAGAAATCGGAAAATTGAAAATTTAGAAATGCCAAAAGCTGAAATATCGGGAAATTGAAGGATCGAAGAAGTGGATAATCAAAAAATTGAAAAATCCCAAAACTAAAATATTAAAAAATCGAAAATCGAGAAATTGAAAAATCAGGAAAATAAGACTCAAAAGACTGAAAAATCGCGAAACTGAAACATCGAAAAATTGAGAAATCCAGGGTTGAAAAATCGAGAAGTTAAAAACTGAAAAATCGAAAATTCGAAAAAGTAAAAATTTGAAAAATCGAAACGAAAAATCGAAGAATCTAAATATTGAAAAACCCCTAAACTGAAACATTAGAAAATTAAAAAATCGAGAAATAGGAAAATAGAAAAATCGAAAAATCCATAAATCAGAAGTCGAGAAATGGAGAAATGGGAAAATCAAAAAATCTAAAAGTTGAAAAACTGAAAAATCTAAAAATCGAAAATTTAGAAATGCCAAAAATGGAAAAATCGTAAAATTGAAGGATCAAAGAATCGGAGAATCGAAAAATTGAAGACTCGAGAAATTGAAAAATCCTAAAACTCAAA